AGCCTGGGCAACAAAGCGAGACTCTGTCTAAAAAAAAAATAATAAGTTTTTGTTTTAATGAGAATTTAAATTTCTCTATACAACATGAGGACTTTTGGGAATTATGGTAACAGATGTAAAAGAAACATCAGCAACTGAGAGCAAGAGAGGAAGGAATACTTTAAGGCTTATAATAAAGGCTGGCCCTAAGTAGGTGAAAGGAGAACTGAGATCAGAAGGGGACCAAAGAGCAGCCAGGCGTGTTCACACAGGTTAGTGAGGAAAACCATTTAAAGGAAGCATACTCAGAAATACACGGGCGGGAGGCTTCTGGCTATGTGTATATGCGACTGGGGTTTGTACAGTTCTGAGAACTAAAAACTGAGTGCCCAAGCTTCCCAGGAATAGGCCCCATTCAGAATAGAAAGTGATTGCGTGTGTAGCACTTTGCATTCTCAGAGAAGCTGCTTCACTTCAACTTTAGTTATTAAAATTGTATGTGCGTAGCTCAGGGTGATAGAGAAGTCTAAGGAATGCTGAGTCTCTCCACACCCACACACAGCATTGTAAGGCTGCCTGCAGAAGTTAGGAGAGATGAGAAAATTCCACAGACTCTGAGTGCTTGGCAGAGCCAATGAGGGAAGGCGAGGAGCCAGGAGTTGCATTTACCTTGATAACTGTGCTACTTCTTTCTAAAGTACTTTTAATTTAGGGGTGAGAGGAAGAAAAGAGAAAAATTACTGAAACATAATGGATGTTTCCACTTCTTTCGCAAGAAAAAGAAGAATTAAAGGGAACATGACAGAAAAAATAGAAATTTGCATGCACGCCTTAATTAATGTCTGTAGAAAGGCAAAACATGAGAACTATAACATTCTGACAGTGGGTCTTAACAATGGGAGATTTTTGTGCTCAAGGGGACATTTGACAATGTTTGGAGACATTTATGGTTGTCATAACTGGGGGAGATACTCTTGGCATCTAGTCAGTAGAGGCTAGAATGCTATTAAGCATTTTATAATCCCTAGGACAGCCTTCTATTACAAAGTATCTGGCCCAAAATGTTACTAAGTGTGGCTATTGGGAAACCCTTGTACTATGTTCACATATCTCTCCAAATTTTAAAGGATTATACGATTACTTTTATGCAATTTCACATGAAACAGCTCCTTCAAAGCAAGCAGTTTGCATTATAGGTCATGTGGTACCGTATACTCAAATCTAACCAAACAATCCTTTTTAGACTCAATTATGATGATTTCAAAAAGAAATGCCTACCAAGAAACCTAATGCGTTTGTGTGTATGTGTGTGTGTGTGTGTGTGTGTGTGTGTGTGTGTGAGAGAGAGAGAGAGAGAGAGAGAGAGAGAGAGAGAGAGAGAGAGAGAGAGAGAGAATATTCTTGGTTAGATAAAACAGGTGATTAAATCTAAATTTTTCTAAGAGAAATGAAATATTGCAGTGCTCTTCCATTCTTTTCTAAGTATAAGGGAAGAAAACTTCGACAAAGAGTTTAAATGCAGAAACCAAAATCTACATACATGCCAAATCTACAGACAGACAAGTCACTGAATGTATATCTGAATGCAAAGAAAAACTGATTGGCAAAAATACTAACAAACCAAACCAAGTGAAATTTTAAATTATTAACCATGTGAAATGTGTTGTTATTGAAGTTTTGCAATGACCAGTATGTTGGAATATTCCTATAACAAGGTCAGGAATAAAACTAAGTTTTATCTGTTATTGAAGTTATATTAGGAAATCCTATTGACACAATCTTTAAAATATATCCATAACCTAACTACTCTTTTACCACCTCCACTGCTACTACTCTGGTCTGAGCCAGGCAGGCTCATCTCCTGTCCCCCTTTTACTTTCTCCTTTGCTCATTTTGCCTCAGCCATACTGGCCTCCTTGCTGTTCTTAAACATGCCACTTGTATTCTCGTCTCTGTGCCTTTGCACTGCTGTTCCTTTTATCTAGAACACTCTTCCCTCAGCTATCAGCTTATCCCACTCCGCTCTTCCTTCAAGTCCTTAATCAGGTGCTGTCTTCTCAATGTGGCCTGCTCTGACCACTCTATTTACAATTGCAAGCCCTTCTCTAGCACTCCCTATCCTTCTGACCACTCTAGTTTTTTTCTGCAGTCTTTTTCACCTTCCAACCTACTATACTTATTTCATTTATTTCTGCTCATTGATTATTGCCTGTCTCCCTGAACTAGAATGTTAGCTGCATGAAGGCAGTGATTTTGTCTGTTTTGTTCAGTGATATAGCTCCAGTTCCTAGGGACAGTACAGTGCCTGCCAGATAGTAGGAACTCAATAAATACCTTTTCAATAAATGTCTTAAGAAAAATACACCAACATTCAAAATTGCAATAAACCAAATGTGAGTATTACATCTACCCATGCAAAAATGTATAGTTTTCAGGTTCTGAAATATAAAGACTATCAGTATTAATGTGTGCTCTGTGTGGGCCAACTGAACAATGGCACTTTTTCTGGTGGTTTTTTCTTATTAATTTGAAGTTTGAGACTTGCTTTTCTCTCTCTTCCTTTCCTTATCATGTTTCTGGGTGCTTCCTCAAAATCATTTGGCATGTACTCTAGAAATAATTAACTCATCTAATATAATCTAATGCAAAACTACTTTTGGGCCTTTGCATATGCTGTTCTGTGTGAAATGTCCTCTTGTCTCCATATAACTACTCCATGACTCAAGGCCAGGCTCCAACGTGACCTCCTCCATGAAATTTCTCTGACTCAGACTGGCTACCAGTAACTTCTCCCATCCTTGTGTATATCTGGCACTCCTTCAATCAAAAGATGAATCTTTCTCCTCTTGAACTCAGACTAGCCTTATGACCATTTTTTTTGACTAGTATGTTTCAACTAATAAAATGCATAGAATGTGACACCGTGCCTAAGCTTCAAGAATCCTGGCAACTTCCATTTTTGTTATTTTGGAGCCCCAAGACACTGTCCTGATGGAGATGGGACCATGTAGAGAGAGAGAATCCCTGAGAGACCATGAAGAGTGCAAACCAGCTCACAGCTGTTCTAGTCAGCTTAGCTGAGATGCCAGAAAAGTAAGTGAAGCCTTTGTGGAAACTAGCCATGCCACCTTGGCCAAAAGCCCATGAAACAGAATTGAGTAGTCACCATCAAGCTCTGCCTAAACTGTAGAATTACAAGCAAAGGAGTGGCAGCTGTTGTTTGAAGTCACTAAGTTTTGGCATGTGTTGATCTGCAGCAGTAGTATATTATATATATATATGTGTGTGTGTGTGTGTGTATATATAATCTACTGTATATATTATATAATCTACTATAATATATATATATATATATATATATACACACACACACACACACCTTATGTCCCTATTGAGAAAATAATACTTTTAGGGCTCTAAGCACAGTAATCTGCATGAAGTAGGCACTCAAATATTTGTTGAATAAATAAATAAACCAGAAGGTAAATTAGAAAGTGAAGTTAAATATAACTACTTTTGAATTTTATTTGGTTTTGAGTTGTCATCATATCAAATACCATGGCTAATCAAAAGCTGACTATATTATTGAAAGTATTAGAGTAGAGTACACTGTCAATCATTATTTATATATGACGTTGATATAATTATCTTTCAAGAATGGAGTTCATCCAAAATAAAATTGCCTCTTGTGCAAAACAGTTTTTAATACTGCTATTACATGAACTAAGACTGTTTTACACATTTTAAGTTTTCACATTATTTGCTTCTGATATATATTTTATAATATATACAAGGAGATATATTTTACTGTGTATATATGCAGTTTCTTATTTAATGCAAAATTAATTAATTGCACAGTATGCTACTATAGTTGGCAATTTTCCCCCCTTTTACTTTTTCCACACTTCCTATTTTCTTTGGATAACGGAAGAATACTTTTTTATAAAAGTGTTATGCATCCATTGGTTCATTCAGTGTTGAGTTTTGATAATAACAGTATCATTTTCCTATGACATTTGAAAAGAATAAGATATTTTATAACTAATTTACGCTAATGTGCATTTTGTCCATTTCTTCAATGATTTAATTTGCTATTATAACATTCTACTAGATGGTTTTGGAATTGCTCCTGCTTTCCTTTAGCTTTTAACTACAAGGATTTCCATTAATATTTCCCAAACATTATAGAAATTTTAACTAAACTCTATTTAATTTTCTTACCCATTTAAAATACATCAAAGAAGCCAGGCCTTTAATAATATGTCTTGAGGGAAGGAGCACCATGTCTATGCATGCTGCAGGTTAGAGAGAGACTGGTGACAAAATATCAGAGCTTGAAAGTGTAGCCCAGGGCCAGAGGGACTTCAGGGGCTCTCTAGTGATTCTAGGCCCTGGAAGGAGCTGGGGATCAGGAGGAAGGCCCACTGGTCTTCCTTCTTGCCTGCCAGTATGTTCTGCTTGACATGAAGAGTCAGGGACTGAGTATTCTCATTAACCTGATACCAGATCAAATAGGCAGAAAGACTGAATAATGATAATATTGGTATTCTAAGGGTATAAAGTGTATTACATCTATAATTATGATTTTATACTATGTTTAAAAACAATTTGCAAAGAAAATACAATGCTGACTATTCTACCTTGCAACATTATGAAAATGTAAATGTATGATTAGCTTTTACTATATAAACCAAATTATAATTTCCCCCTCAATTAACTCAGTATAGGATATTGTTCGGTTTATCCTATTTGTTGGATTTTTCATTTCCCTCTCACACACACAATGGCAAAACAGGAATAATACATGCATGTATACTTTAGTAAAAATAAAGAAACTAAAATTATAAAGTGTTCCTATTAAGAATTAGTACAATGACTTTCCAAATAAGAAGAGGTTAAATAGATTTTTATTTGTAAGTAAAATTAAGATGTCCTTTATAAGAATATTAAAGAAAATTTTTTGATTATCATTGTTATATCAGTTTCTCTTCACAAACATTAAAGTAATAAAAATGACTTACCTTCACATCCCTGTGAATTATGTTATTATCATGACAATAGCGAAGAGCTTCCAGTATCTGTCTCATGTAATGGCTGTAAGAAAACAAAGAAACCTAAAACTGTAAAAAATTTTTATTTTTAAAAATATACAGTGCCCCTAGTTTATAATTCCCACCTTCATATTAGCTGCCCATGGACACTTTTCATTTGAGCAGACAAGATTGGTGGAAAGTGAGACTTAATAATGAAACAGTTGGTAGCCTCATAAGTTTATGTGCTTCATGAAGAAATAGTATGTTCTATATTTTCTAAGCTAAGTTCAAAGAATTTCACAGAATTCATAAGTAAAATTGCTTTGCCAACTAAAAATTCAAGCTTAAAATATGAAAAAAAAACCCAACAATTTTCCAGTACTCAGGCAATTCTACTTAGTTAAATTGGATTGCTATTAAGTAAACAGTGCTCAGAGCTACCCCAAGGATTTGAACTAAAGGGGGAGAGCCTTTTATCTGCCAGCAGAGTATGTTCTCCATCTTATTTCCATTTAGTTCTGAGGACAAACAAGAAGAACCTCCCTTTGTGTACAATTTCTTTTTGTAACATAGTCAAGTTTTAGTTGCAGCATCCTTGAACAAAGCAGGACAGTTCCAGGCCCAAATCCTAGGTAGTCTAACTCTTTAGGTAGCCAGCAGGGATCCAGTTGAGGCTCTTCATGGAGTACAAGATGAAAAACAAAGGAGAAGTTAGCATTTTAAAGAATAGTCTTTAGAAAGTGCTAATAGGGCTAGACTAGTTTATTTAGTACTATTTTAGAACTTCCTTCTTGTATTTTTAAAGTTCTATAATCCCTCTATTTCTCTTCCTCTGAGTGTCTATTTCATCTTCCCTTCCTCTGCATTTTACTCCTTCCACATCTCTTTCTTTCTCTTTTCTTCCTATTATCCCTTTCCTTGCTCATTTTTCTCCTTCCCAACAGCCAAGACAGAAACGCAACAGAATCGACATTATTCATTGTATAATACTTATTAAATTTTGTTTTGGTTCCAGATCTTAGATTTCTGACACAAATCACCTTGTATGTGTTACATGACTCAAGACAAAAAAATTCTCTCTTCCTGCTTTACAATTAAAAGATATATCCATCAAGTTCCCTCTTTGGTATGCTACTATCTTTTTTTATTTTTGTAGAGACAGGGTCTCACTATGATGCCCAGGTTGGTCTTGAACTCCTGGCCTCAATTGATCCTTCTGCCTCAGCTTCCCAAAGTGCTGGGATCACAGGCATGAGCCACTGGTATGCTACTATCTAACCAAGCTCACACATGCATTATTCATGTATTATAATTGATTAGAAGGGTTCTGTTTTTAGAATGAAAGGTGGAAAAAAAACCACCTCAGGTTTTGTTCTCATTTATCACTGTCTCCTCACAACCTGTCTCAAAGCCAGAGAGTGAGGCTCATGCTGTAGTTAGTTCTGGTGTTCAATTTCTCTTACTTTGCATATATACACATAAGGGGTTGTGGTCATATACTCTTTGCCTGGGCCAGTGCAGCCTGTAATTAAGTTTTGTTTAAATTAGAGGTTCTTAACTTGGTGTTGTGGCCTGTTAGTCCTCAAATCAGGCTTTGGGGGATCTGTGACCCCTTAAAATGGCTAAGAGACTACAAATGTGAAAGTGTTTTGGAAACTTGAAACCACGCTACAAAGGTTAAGTCATTATTATTACATTATTATTATTATTATTGTTAAACCTAGGCAAAGATTTAAGAACAGCCTATTTGTCCACCTAGATGTCAGCATATAAATAGTGGGTAAGTTTAAACTTGGCAAAGTAGACATAGCTTGATACCTACATAATGGACTACTTTGGATACAAAGTACTGAGATAGTAACCTAAATTATCTTTAGCCTAAAGAAAATTCTTACCTCAAAACCTCAATAAACAAAACAGAACAAAACTCATTGAATGAGCATTGTTAATTTGCATATGAGAGCACTTAATTATTTGACCCAAACATATATATACAGCAGAATCTATAGGGTTTATGGGGAGAGAGTAGAATTTTTTTTCTCCCCAAATTATGACAGATCTGAACTATCTTTCTCCAATCTCCTAGTCATGATCCTGGGAGGCTATGCATGTGAATGGTGTGTAAGCAGAATAAAATGAGAACCAAAATCAGCCCACATGTTCTAGAGAGTTGCTGACTGAATTTTTAATAAAAAACTTCATTTCATGAAGCATCAATGTGGTTTATGCTTTCAGAGAAACTCAATGATACATAAGTTTGTCTTCACTTTCCCTAAAGATCAGGAAAGATAACTCCATGGAAAGAAAGAGCTGGCCAGTAATCCACTTATTTACTTTGGAAGGAGGCATTTTGGGGGTGGTGGAACATAAAAAGAGAGGTGACTCAGTTAACTCTGGGTAAAAAGACTAATGCTAACTGCTAGGCAGACTAGACCTTATCTTTGAAATGCCCTTAACAGAACGTCCCAGGCTCAGGATTAACTATGGTAAATAGAACCTATGATCTTCGAGGCATAGTTGGCTTCCTGGAGAATGTCATATAAACTATCCAACTTCCAACTCTATGGGGTATAAAATGGAGATGCTTCATAATTGCAATGCTCCCCTCTGTGCGTGTGGAATCCTATAAACCTCAGGTAGAGCTCTCATGTATTTTAGGGCAGAGATGTATTTCTGACATGGGAAAAATGACAGGGCTCTTGCCCTTGATGTCCCACAATTCTCTCTGCTTCAGATGAGCCTTTTGATTGCCTGTATCCTTGAAATTATTTAGTAAGACGTGGTACTAGTTAAGAAGGTAGCTCTGATTTGTGAGAGTTTGATTTGATAATTTGATTCTCTGTGTTAGCTCACTGCACAACTCATTACCCCTGAAAGGACAGAGGTAATCACTAATTGGGTTGTACTAAGGACTCAACAGAGTTTTATTTTAATGCCATGCTTTGCTGCTCCTCTTGAAGCTCAGCCAGTTGGAAAAAAATAACACGATCAATTTGATTATTTGGTGTCTCAGAGTCTTCTTGCAGAAATCATCTGGTCAAACACTTTACAAGAATGGAAGAACCTACGTGTGCCTTATTATATGGTCGTTGATCCTCTGCAACAGGGAACACACATAATAATACTTTCTGACCACCCCCATATATCTTTTTATTGTTAGAAAGAAGAGCCTTTAATAAATTGTCTCTAAACCTCTCTCTTTGCAAAGTCACTTACTGGTCTCAATGCTACTCTTTTCTGACCTACTCTGTTAAGTTCTTTTTGTAAAATTGCCATTTTAACAGACAATACAGGTAGATTTAAAAATTAAACAGGTTTTCATTTTGGTGCATATAAACATCTACCTTTTCTATAAATCTCAAGATTGGGAGAGACCACAAGTCATTTCACTGTATGACATCACCTCTCTATACTGCCATCCCATATATCCTGACACCTAGCCCAGGGGCAGAGTTGGCTCAAAGTTACGGAAAAGCAGTAAGGATGACTATAGTAAAAGTGGTGCTGGTTTCACCTCAGCCCTGCCAGCATATATGCCAGGTATCCCAGCGTTACTGTGATTCAAAAATGAAAAATTCATATTCCTCCACTGAGTTTCACTATTTTATAAAATCAAAATTGAGAATTTTCAGTTTTCTTTTTTTCCTGTTGTTCTTGAAAGATAGTAATATGGAAAAGTACAAAAGGCAAGTTGCCTCCAAATTCTTTTAAAACCACATATAAACAATGATATGCAAAAGTATGAGAGTTTCATTTAGTCAGATAAAATGGTTTACACCTATGGTGTAAGAAAAGTCAAGACAGCATTGATTATTTTTTTATTATTATTATTTTTTATTTTTGAGACAGAGTCTCACTTTGTTGCCCAGGCTAGAGTGCTGTGGCGTCAGCCTAGCTAACAGCAACCTAACACTCCTGAGCTCAAGCAATCCTGCCTCAGCCTCCCGAGTAGCTGGGACTACAGGCATGCGCCACCATGCCCGGCTAATTTTTTCTCTATATATCAGTTGGCCAATTAATTTCTTTCTATTTATAGTAGAGACGGGGTCTCGCTCTTGCTCAGGCTGGTTTTTGAACTCCTGACCTCGAGCAATCCACCCGCCTCGGCCTCCCAGAGTGCTAGGATTACAGGCATGAGCCACTGCGCCCAGCCAATGTTGATTAGTTTGGTATTAAAGAATGTTTAAAAAATTTTAAACCACAAGAAAGAATAAAAATTTAACATAGTGATTAAAAACTCAAAACAATAGAAAAATGGGACTTAAAAAACTAGAATGTGCTTTAGAGAGCATGGCACAAAAGCAAAGAGGATATTTAGCCTCAGTTCTACCATGTATACATTAGGAGTCTAAAGAAGCAACTACAGCTAACATACTATAAACTTTCATTTGCTTCTTCTCCCTAGCCCCAGTAATACAAAAAAGCAGCTACCTTACTTTGAGCATATTCTTTATTTTGTACTATAGCAATGGTTGCTCTATCCCTGAGACTAAGTTCCTAGCTCCTCAGCCAGGAAGAGTCAGGGTAAAGAATTTAAAGAGAGTCAAGTCATGCTGAGCTCAAAACTGTATTAAGGTAGTCTTTAAGTTTTTTCTAGCTAAGTATGTCTATGATGCTATAAATATAAAAGGAATGATAGAAGGGAGGAAGTTATAATCATTTAATATAAACTTTTCTCAAATGACAGAAAGTTTTTTTTCTTTTTTGAAACAGTGTCTCACTCTGTTGCCCTGGCTAGAGTGCCATGGCGTCAGCCTAGCTCATAGCAACCTCAAACTCCTGGGCTCAAGTGATCCTCCTGCCTCAGCCTCCCGAGTAGCTGGGACTACAGGCATGTGCCACCATGCCCGGCTAATTTTTTCTATATATTTTTAGTTGGCCAATTAATTTCTTTCTATTTTTAGTAGAGACGGAGTCTTGCTCTTGCTCAGGCTGGTTTCGAACTCCTGACCTTGAGCGATCTACCCATCTTGGCCTCCCAGAATGCTAGGATTACAGGCATGAGCCACCGTGACCGACTGACAGAAAGTTTTAATAAACCCTAATAGATTTGTGGGTTGGAACCCTCCAACATACTAATGGTTGGTGACTGAGGAGGGATGCTGTACTCCCTGTATTAAAAAGGTACTCCACTGGAATGGGAAATTATGATATAATGTAACCAGAACAGAAAGCTATACTGCTATAAATATATAAGTAGCACAGTACACGCATGGCTCTTGTGATTTTTCACATTTACTCTTTATTTTGAGTTACTGGGTCCTTACTACAACTTCTCCACTGAGAAAAAGGGCCACCATTTGATTGGCAAGTCTCACACTGGCAGGAAGCAAATATATTTGGCAGGAAAATGGTGCTTTTATTTTTGTTCCTTCTATTGTTTCTGTTCTGTGCTTTTCCTTCGATTAACTAGTCCAGAGGTCCTCAAACTTTTTAAACAGGGGGGCCAGTTCACTGTCCCTCAGACTGTTGGAGAGTGTGCACTGTGGGCCCGGGACAAGTCGGCTGCCAAGCAGGACAGGCAGTGGTGGCAAAAACACCTGGAGGACCAGATAAATGTGCTAGGCGGCCCGTATGTGGCACACGGGCCGTAGTTTGAGGATGCCTGAACTAGTCACATAACAATTTGATAGCACTAAAAGGCAAAATGAAGAACTAATGAGACACATCTGCCAAAAAACAAAAATCAAACAACTCAAGTTTGGCTCTACATGGTTCTTAAGCTATCAAATTCCTTCTTGTATAAAAGTTATCAGAAATGGGAAAGATAGCAATACTGATGTAAAAATGTAAACCCATGTTAATAGAAGAATTCATTGTTCAGTACACTGCATTTCCAGTCGCTATTCAGTTCTACTAATGCATACTAAAAGAGATATGTTCCTGTAGCAAAGAGCAGCAGTAGGCACAGTTCAAAGAGCAGGCTACTACTTCATGTGATTTCTTTGTAATGTCCTTCTTTTACTTCCACCTTGACCTCTGGGGATTAGATATAGATTACATACCTGGCTACGGCTTCACTGTATACAAAACCAGCATCAGCTCGCTTTACGATTTCAAAACAGAGATCCGCTCCATCCATACTGTAGAGAAATGTGAAAAAGAACATAAGAGATGAGGACATTCTAGGGAGACAACACTGAAAGGGAAAACATTATACGCTATTAGTTGGGTTACTGCTAATGATTGTAAATTATTTAAATCTCTTTTCTTTCAATGATAAAATAGACATAAATTATAAAAGACATAACCATCTTAACATTAAAAATCTAAAAGGAAAGAAACGGAACAGGCAAATGGTAGTATCAAATAACATGAAGTATATAAAATCATCTATAAATTTTCTTTAGGTTATAACAATAAGAAGTCTCAGAAAAGAGGAATGCTGGAGGTTGTGGCATATTTTCAGTTGAGTTCCAAAATTATCTATATCTAGTCACATATTATTTTAAGAATATAAGGACTTTAAAAACATTTTCTATAGTTATCACCACTAAATGAAAAATTAAGGCTGTGTACTATGGAAGGAAAAAACAATGAGCTAACCTATAATTTTTTTGTTTATACTTCTATTACCAAAGTTAATTGCTACAAACATATTGCAACACATAGAAGTGTTGGTGACAGTGTCACTATCCTAAAATGTACAATGGTTCTCTATTTCTCACCAGATATGTAAGGCCACTTGTTGTCTTGGCTATACCTTGCCTCTTCTACCTACAGTGTTTAACAACATTTTTTTTTTTTTGAGACAGAGTCTCGCTTTGTTGCCCAGGCTAGAGTGAGTGCCATGGCGTCAGCCTAGCTCACAGCAACCTCACACTCCTGGGCTCAAGTGATCCTCCTGCTTCAGCCTCCCAAGTAGCTGGGACTACAGGCATGCGCCACCATGCCCAGCCAATTTTTTCTATATATATTAGTTGGCCAATTAATTTCTTTCTATTTATAGTAGAGACGGGTTCTTGCTCTTGCTCAGGCTGGCTTCGAACTCCTGACCTCGAGCAATCTGCCCGCCTCGGCCTCCCAGAGAGCTAGGATTACAGGCGTGAGCCACTGCGCCCAGCCTGTTTAACAACATTTTAAGAAAACCTTGCTATCTAGGCAGAATGACCTTATTATCACTCCCAGAATATATAACTTTTTTATTGGCAACATGCTTTTTCATATAGTGCTTTACATATTCATCTACCTTTAATTCAAGGTTTCATTCCAATCCCACCTTCCTAGGAAGCTCCCTCAATGATTACTAGCTACATTAATACCATCTTTTGCTTTAATTTTATAACCCTATACAATCCATATAACATTTAGCACTTATATACATATAAACATGCCTCCACATATACATATATATATGAAACCTTTTCCAGATCATTATATTAATCAAATGATTCAAATATTAATAGCTGACATTTTCATAATGCTTTAAGGCTTATAAAATCTAATCCAGTATCATATTTATTCATTTATTCACTAGTTCAGTTTCAAATATATCTGCTGCAAGTATCATACTGAGAAAATACAAACTTCTAGAAGGGAAAGTTAAGGAATTAATATACTTACTATTCATCAGGCCCCATGGGAAACATTCCTTGTTATATCCCCCTTCAGACTTAAAATTACTCCATGAGTTAGCATCATCCTCATTCTCAAATAATTGATCTAAGTGAGTGGACAAGTGTGCGACAGGGTCAGGATCCAAATACCTATCTAGCTATGTCCAGTGCTCTTCCCACTGACTACAGCTACACCTGCTGGGTGTGCGAGGAACGAATGCACATCTTTGAGCCCTACAACAGGTCAGCAATAGTGTAAAGTCCTAATGAACAAGTATAAACTTTCAACATACCACTATAAAATACCCAGAAGACTGAGAACATAGTAAATACGTAATGAGCAGTTAATTATATTATTTGGATCTTGGTGTGGTTTTATGTAAATGAAAATACTTTCACATTTATATAGGCTTTATAAATTTTACCAAGTTTTCATTTTATACTTAATGACCATTTTCCAATGTCAAGTAGATTCTTCTCCAAAATACTGTTTATGATGGCCTAGCCTACTCCCAAGTATGGCAGCACCCATTTTCTACCATCAGATATAAAATGTGATTATGCTTCTCTGTGAACAACTCTGGTTATCTGCTATGGTAAAATTCTTACAATAAGAGTTGCTAGGTCAAGTTGTTATATTGTATCAGATATACAATAATACTTTTGATACATACACAACCAGAAAATTTCTAACATTTTTATACTCTCACTACCAAGTGTGAATGTGTCCTTTTCTCTACTAAGATGACTATACTTTTTCATCTTTGCCAATCAGATAGGGGGGAAAAAGTCATTCATGATTGCTTTAATTTGCTTTTCCTTGATTACCAGAATAGATGAATATTTTTCATTTCTTTGTACTGTGGGGATAAAAAAATGCTATTTTAAAAACTGGCTGTAGTTTAAGCTGGTTAGTTGATCTATGAGGACTAAAAAACATCTCATAGTGAAGGAATTAGTTTTGCTTAAGCGTTTTTCTTCTTAATTGTGAAATGTGAGGGTAGGTACTATTCAACTTAGATGAGAGAGGAGTTACGCAAAAAAGAGAACTAAATTGATTACATAAAGACGCAATAAGAATTTGGGAGCTGTCCTGAGAGCTAGTGTTATTTCTGGAGGGACCTAGAGGGGAAAAGGAAAAAGGAGACTGGGGCGGCAAGGCAGGGACAGCAAAGTGGCGAGAGCTCAAAACCTAATGCCTAAGGAGGGAGCCAGCCAATGAGAAATAACTGGAAATTATTTACTGTCCTGTGCTACAATTATCAGCATGGATCAATCCATTTGCCTGGCCATATATGAAACACTAGTACTTGAGATGACAATTTTGACACATGTGCATACACACATGAGTATTTTTAGGTTTCTACTCTTTTCCACTGACCTGTCTATTCTTGCATCTCATACTGTACCATTTAAAATACTATAGTAACTTACCTATCAGGTGCAATGAACACTGTTCTGGTGATGGGCACACTAAAAGCCCTGACTTAAGCATTGTACAAAGTATCCATGTACCAAAAACATTTGTATCCCCTTAATATTTTGAAATAAAAAATTAAAACACTATAGTAGCATATTTTAATATGGCAAAATAAGTCTTACTCACTATTCTTTGCCAGCATTTTCTTATGATTTGCACCCCCTAGTTGAACTTTAAAATAATTTTGTCAAACTCTAAAAAAGTTTTATATTTTGACTCAGATGGTATTAAATCCATACATTAACTACTACAAATTAACATTTTTCTAATAGTGTCATCCATGAACATGATATGTCTCTCCATTTCCTTTCATGTCTATAAGTTACAGTTTTAAGGTTTTCTTTATATTGGTTCCGGATATTGATTATTAAGTTTTTTCCCTAGGTATTTTATATTTTAGTTGCCATTATAAATTGAATCTTTTGGCCATAGTGTACTGTTTAATTCAATGCTTTATAACTAGGGGTACTAAACAAAATCACCTGTGTAACTTCTTAAAGATGCAGGCAGGTTCTTTGAAGGGTTATTCTGAAAGAAAGCCATCACTGTGAAAGTACTTTTCTATTATTAAAGCTATTTGATTAGTTATTTATAATATTAATTGATATTAAAGTAAAAGCAGCAATCTACTACTTTTAAATTTCATGAGATACAGAAATAAAAGCTAAAAATACTATTATTTATGTAAATTTTATTCATCATAGAAATTTAAAATATACATATTCATACTACACACAATCCTGATATAATAACCTTGAATCTTTTGAACAAAACTGATGGCTCAATTCTTTGATAAACTTTATTTGACAATACAATTCTAAAAATAATGGTAAGGCTTCTTTTGTTGCTTTCTCTTTGACTTTCCATTTTGGGGTGTTTGTTTCTGGAGCTGTCAAGAACCTTCAAAGAACATGGTCTGAATTTCCCCAGTTGGCACCAGTGTGAGGGAGCGAAAAGAAAGGGTTGAAACCCTTTCATTGAAAAGTACTGGGAGGGGGCTTCTACATTGTATGTAGACAGAAACTATGGGAGGTTTAGTCTGAATTGTGAAAAGTAGTGAGATTATGAATGAGCTTAGCTGTGTCTCCTCTTTGCCTATCTGAATTTTTTAAATTTTATAATAAACAAACATTATTTATATAATTAAAAAATTATCCAAAGCCAAATGCATCAAACAAACAACATAGATCACAGGTCTAGAGACAGAAGGTACAAATGGTTGTATATCGAAGGGGATCAGAATATGCTACCCCAAAATATGCCACTTTGGCATCAGGGTTATTTTAAGTTGAAGGCACAAAATCATGTGCTAGATTTCACAGCAATGTCAAATTGCTATAATAGTTTCTAAATGTTTACTCTCAATTTCTGTACCTGTCTTATCGTAGACCTAGACCGGTAACAGATGGTAGATTGGCACTCATCTGCAAGTATTCTTTGAAGAATACTGTCATAAAGGACAGACCAAATCTGGATTTCTCTGACCAGCATTTTCTCTGACGATGTCAAAAACAACTACAAAAATGGGATGAAATTAAAAAATTTTTTTTTTAAATCTTCAACGAATTAACAGTATAGTGAGTGAAAAACTAGTGAGAACTGGGATAGGATTAGTGCTCAAAGAGGTGAATGAGAGCTGTTTCTGCCCTGGGGGCTGGCGTTGGGTTATAGAAAGAATGCAGCTGGGGAAAGGCACTTTTGGGTAACTGGAGAGGTAGGAGGGGGTGGTCAGATGGAGACTGACAGGGTCCAGCTGCTTTTACACCAGGGTGATATAAGAAGAGAGACAGAGTTATTCTTTTAGCAGATGTTTGAAGAGCCTGCCAAAGGCTAAGGCCCCGATGCTCTTGGCTGGGGCCATAGAGCTACATTTTAAAAATTGGGATACAGAATATATTCCGTTATGCCATGTTGGTAGCATACAAAAACCTCAATGCTCACCATGGAGATAAAAGCTTAGCCTAAAAACTTCAGAAAGAAGCAAGCACTCAGAGTATGTTTCCCAATCATAATGTAGCTATGCTAGAAATAAATTAAGTAGAAAATC